CAACAAATCTTAACTTCCACTAAGTTTTATAGGCAAAATGAAATGATTTTCATGATATGGCAAAGAAGAGAAAAGGCATTTCATATCTCACAGGCTTTAAAAGATACAGCTTAAAAATGAAAGCAAATATATGTGTGTAGAAATTTAATGAAAAAATTATACACTAGTCTTATATATAGGTTTATTTAGGTAGTTAAAAAATCTAGACCATCATTCAGAACTTTTCAGAAAAGATGTTCTTTTTTTTCAGTGTAGGAAAACAAATGAAAGCAAAGTAGAAATCTAATGGAATGATATATCTTGTCATTAAGAAACAAATAAAATGAAAACTCTTTCAACATCAGAATTCTGAATAAAAGTATTTCAATATACTTTTCACAAATTGTCTTAAAGTTTGAGGTAGAAAATACTGAAATAAAATATTGGTATGATTACTTCTAAGCAAATACACCACTATGGAATTTTAAATAATTTATTCATACATGATTTATGACCCAAGTACTTTCAAAATACTTTAAAACATTTCATTATAAAGAAAATAGGTAGTTAAAATGATTTTTAAATCCAGAATAATGGAAACTGTATGAAACAGGCAGGTATAGTTGCGGAGCTTTAGTTAAGTTTAATTTAGACTATATAGGATTATTGCTTTTGCTCATAGTCCAACTCTGAGAATTCAGGCAAAAACAAATTGAATTCTATACTTTCCATATTCTGACCAAAGTATCAAACCTACTGTTTTTCAAAGGAATTAAAGTTTTTCAATGATAAATTCTAGAAGTAATAAGTTCCCTGTGTTCAAAGATGAGCAATAATGAACAGAATAATGGCAGGGTCTTCAACAGCAACTCATCAGCAATGCTAGAAACATTCTTCATATGTCCACTCATTGAATCTATACCTCATAAAAGCCAAGGACATAACATTAAATATAATGCAATGAAGGCATTTCTCTGAACATTTCTGCAGAGGTTTGAGCCAGTCAAGTAAGCATTTTGATAATCCAACTTGATATTATAGTAGAATTTACAATCATTTGAGAGGTGATAGATAATCCAGTCCTTGTGCTTAAGTTTTCTTTCTCAAATATCAGTTTTCTCCTTTGCATGAAGAAAAAATAGCTTCAACTTTAAAACTCTTGAACGTGAGCCAGGAATGCAGGGGTTCCAGATTCCTGAGGTAGTAGTTCACACATTTTACAACAGAGATTGAGAAGTAGAATTAAATCTTCACACATGGAGTACTACGGGTCAGAGAGCCAGAATTTTCTGAATCCTATTAGATCACTTTTAAATGTATTCAGCTGAGATCACATATTGCAGACAAACATCTCAGTCATTCAAGAACATCATCATGGATACCATTAAATTTTTCATCTACTTACAAAATTGCATTTTCCCCAAATTCCATGTTATTTGTTGGAACTGTCATCCAATTAGATCCTCAAGACAGAAAGATAGTAAATATAATTTGGTTTCTAAATGTCCTTCACTCTGTCATTCTCTGCTTCTAATTGCTATCCAAATTCCTCTGAATTTATCTTTTGAGAGTATGTTTATGATGTTTCTTCTCACTTTCATCACCCATACAATCCTCATTGGAGCTTCAATTATAGTGATCCTAAACTGATCATCCAGTGTCTTCACTTCACTTTCTTTCAGTCTATGCTGCTTCTTGCCACCAGAGATCTTTTGAAGACATAGATTATTTACTGGCACTCACCAAGGCAAACCCTTTGATAAATCTTCTCCAGTCATCAGGGAAAGGTCTAAGGCCTTTAGCCCGGCACACGAGGCACCTATCCTGTCTCCGAGTACTTTATTTTATATGTTCACAAAGCACATAGCAGAGAGAGGGTGCAGTTACCCAGAACAGCCTGTGGTTATAATTCTCGTACTTCAGTTAACATACCTCAGCCAGCAACTATCTTGCAGCAAGGTCAGTGAAAGCTGGTTATCTGTCGCTAGGCCCTACTGCTCTTCTCAGAGATATACACATTCCCCTATTCACTTCTCTTGGAGTTCATCCAAAGCTAACAGCAGCCTTGCTGCTGATGCCCCCAGAGGGTGGGCTTCTGTCTCTCTACACATAATATATAAATATATACTATGTATATAGTATATATACTTATATTTTATATATAATTATCATATCATAAAATGTCATATATGTTCCTGTATATATTCCTAAATATGTATGCATATATATATTCACTTAAACATATATACATACATATTCATTTATATTCACAAACAATCTCTCAGAAATAATTCAAGTTCTTGTCAATATCCTTGTAAATTCCATGTGAATGGAATAAGGAAGATCTCCCTCCCACAGATTTATTTAATTCAAAGCCAATTGATGATAAAAATAAAAAAAAACAAAAAATTGTATCAATCATTGAATACTCATTCTGTGCTTTATGTATTTGTATTCTTTGTAAGTGCAAAATACAAATATTATTTTTATCTTAAAAATGTCTAAATCCCTTCAGATAAATGGACTTCCCCATCTTGGCGTCTTGGCACAGCCAATAAGAGCTCGTATGAAATTAAAACCTATTGCAAGTTGGTTCTAACAGCTAATCTCTTTCTACTAACCCACTGAATTACCCATTTTGAAAACAAGTCTATTGCAGCATGCTGCCACTCAAGGCATCAAGGATACTGATTTCAGACATTCTGGTGTTTACCTCCCAGGGAGGAATTGGCAGATTCAGAACTACTTGGTTATTTATAAAGGTTAAATGCCATAGAATTTTCCTTCCTTGATGGGACTTCTTTCCCACTGCTGTATTTTGAATTGCTATGGACTACTCATGACAAAATCAGAAGTCATATGTTTTCATAATGAGACTCCATTGCTCATGGATAAGATAACAGTGCTCCAGTGGCTAAAAGTGGGACTGTTGATGTCAGATGAAACTTGGACTTTAATTCTGGCTGTATCATTTGCTGGCAGTATGACCATAGACAACTTCTAAGCTTCATCTTTACTATCTTTATAAGAGACTACTGATATTGCACACATAACATTCTTAGAGAAATTTGTGTGCTCATATAAATAAAGTGTGTAAAACATCTCTTTACTTCTGCCCCTTTGCCTCATTGACGCCTTGTTGATTTTCAGAGTAAGATTTTTAGTCACACTGTACCATATTATTTACCCAATTACTAGTATTTCATTGAGGCTGATTTTACTGTAAAGAATGTACCTGGGATGAAGAAGAAGAAACTACATACGCACCTTTGGAAAAGCCATGTGATTCTGCTTCCCGCCATCATTCTAAGAACTAAGTACTTCTTTTCCAATATTTATAAATGAGATCAAATAATCAAGCGTATTAGCTAAATAAACATATTAAAAATTGATAAAATAATAAGACTTCTTCAGTGGCAAACGGCATAAATCCAAGAGTTAAACTTTACACGGAGAAGAGAGCAATGCTGTCTGAGTTAAGGGTACTATAAACAACTCAGGTGTTTTCTGCAACTACATCCTCAGCCTGGGGGATCACCGCATGAGGTCTCTCTTTGAAGAACCTGGATACCAGGTAGACAGCCAAAGTTTGAAACAACCTGACGGCTCAGTCTCTTTAGTTTGGCAGTAAGGTCCTTCATGTAGGGGAGTGCATTCTCAACAAACTTCAGAAGGCTCGGTTGAGCTCTCTACTGGGGAATGTCCTAAAATACTCAGTGAAACAGACTAAGCATTTAGACACAGAACTCTCCTGATTCTTGGAGATATATCCAAACTGCACTGCTGCAATTTTAATTCTCCAATGAATTCTACTTTGACAAACATCAAAGTGTCAAATAATAAGTTTTTAAGCTTGATTTCTCTTAAAATTTAAACAATATAAAGGATCCAAAACTATGTGGAAAGTAGAATTTCTTTGTATTCTGTAGAAAGTAAATTTATATGAGGATGCACTGAAACATCTCTATGAATTGCATCACAGGTAAGTTTTATTTTTTAATTAATTAAAAATATCTAATACAAATATTTCTGGTCATTATAATCATAAAATAATAGCATTATTTTATTATTGCTATTAAATATACATAGAGTATTGATGTTTTTCAAAATAATTACTTTGACTTACACAACTTTTGCTACTATGTAAAACAACCAAAGTACACTTTAAATTTCAATTTGAAATCCAAATTTATAATGTGCTATACTTAATTACTTAATTTTTAAAATTTGCTGTAGACCTATAAAGCATATATAAGCTTTAATCGTTATCTATTATTTTTTCTGTTACAATATAGTACTTCAATCAGACATGCTTTATCTTTAAATTAAGAGTATAAATCTTGCCAGAAATGTACCCTGTTGTCGTATAAAACATCAAATTTAAAGTTTGATGAATACTGAGAGCAACATACTACCTGGAATTTGATGAAACTTGAAACTTATTTCACAATTGTGGACCAAATGATAGTAATGTATTATCCAACATGTTATCACTATACAAAATTTGAGATAGCTGATTGCTAGGTGACATGAGGAAAGTAGAACATGGTCTAAGATATGAAGACTTATCAACAGGATAAAAAACAATTAAATGAATTTACAAACCCCTTGTGTTTATTTCAGTTAAATAACATTTTCTTACTGTGAGTAGGAGAAAAATATTAATTTAATATAAAATTCTACCAACTTAACAAAAAGAAGTTTCTACATTAATATTTTTTTCAATAGAATCTGAGAAAGTATGACCTCTGATGAACCTAAGAAGAAGCATGTATTGCATTATGTGAATCCCCTAAAACAGGGGTCCCCAACCTCTGGGCCATGGACTAGTACCAGTTCATTGCCTGTTAGGAACCAGGCAGAATAGCAGGAGTGAGCAGCTAGTGAATGAGTGAAGACTCATCTGTATTTACAGCCGCTCCCCATTGCTCCTTACCACCTGAGGTCAGCCTCCTGTCGGATCAGTAGCAGCATTAGGCTCTCATTGGAACAGGAACTCTACCGTGAACGGCGCATGCGAGGGATCTAGGTTCTGAGCTCCTTATGAGAATCCAATGCCTGATGATCTGTCACTGTCTCCCATCACCCCCAGATGGGACTCTCTAGTTGCAGGACAGCAAGCTCAGGCCTCCCACTGATTCTACTTTATGGTGATTTGTATAATTATTTCATTAAATATTGTTACAATAATAGAAAAAAGTGCACAATAAATGTAATTTGCTTGAATTGACCAGAAACCATCCCTACCCCTCCATCCCCCAGTTCATGAAAAAATTCTCTTCTACAAAACCAGTCCTGGTGTCAAAAAGTTTGGGGACTGCTGCCCTAGAGCACAACCTCACATGTTTGCGGGTTGTAAACAAAATAAAGCATATCCTTAGTAGACTGAGGTAGCTGAAATTATGTTGAGAAGAGCTTTACAATCCCTACCAGAGCAGGAAAGGGCCTTTCTCAACTTCAGTTACCTCGTATGAACAGCCACAAAAGGTATTTCAAAACCCACAATCTGGAAAACGTTTATATAAACTGGATTTAGTTATATGGCTTTCATGTAATCATTCTCATATAAAAGAAGGCATTAATAACTATCTAAATGCCTATATTTAAAATGTCTAAAGGTCTATATGTCTATATTTTGTCTAAATATCTAAATGTTTAATGTCAATATTTAAGTGAACAAATATTATAGAATTTGATTTTGACAATGTATACATTATAAAAAGTCCCTTCTAAAATGAAGTAAAAATATATTTTTGCTAATTTAAGGAATTTTTTAATTCTTTATTAGATATAAAAGTAACACTGAACAATAAGTGAGTCATTTCTATACCAACATGGCACTTTATATTGACATTCTTCAATTTGATATCTTCAAAAGTATAAAAATTATTTTATTATACCTCTAAGTATGCAGTTTTATATGTTTTCTAAAGCTTTTCCTCTAACTGATTAATGGGAACTCAAGGTCAGTCCATGCATAATGAGCACTGGTTTCATTTATGGATTAATGTTCATGTTTGATATTTCTGATCTCAGTACAGAGAAGTTTCAAGACCTTTATTTCCTTCTGGTGTTAGCACAATCTGCAGTTGTTAGGGGAGCTGTCAATCTCTTCTTAATACATTCAAGTCCTTTGGAGAAAAGCATGGGCCAAAGGGGAAAACCCAGAGTGGAAAATTTCTGAAGCTGATTATAGAGAAGGCTGAATGGTAGTCAAGGGCAAATTTCCAAAGGGATCTGATTAACATTGCTCTATCAAATAAGAACCAGACAATAAGTCATTAATTTTATGGCATTTTTTTTGTCTTCTACCTGGTTTTTCATAAGTTGGACTTCCTTCCAGGATAATTAACCACCAAACATTTTGCAAGCAATCCAAATGCAGAAGCAGTACAAGATGGATAGCACTTACGAAGTAATTGACTAAAGGTATATTGGGCATTTTAAGCAATAATGGTGTGCATCCTAATACCGGAAGAAAGGCTTATGTACTGCCATTTGACAGGTCATTATTTAATCTCAGACCTCAACATCAGATAATATAAACTCAAGGCTAAATTGAACTTAGGCATACTAGGAAGAGGGTATCTTAGTGCAAACAGCTTCTGAGAAAGCACTTAGTGTTCTTGCCTTGGTATTATCAGAATACCCCTGGTGTTATCTCAGATGAATTTCCAAGTTATTTTATTTTCTTTTGACAGTAAAGTCAGTGCTGACAAACCAAGACAGTGTCAAAGAAATTCAGTTACTGAAGTGTCTGACAGCTTGCTTTGCTGCTTCTCACTAAAGTTTTCAAAGTTGCTTGCAGCATATGTAATATTGTTTGCTTTGCAAGACATGCATGATATTTTAGAATAAAATAAAAAATAATATCAAAAGAAAAATAAAAACTTGTAAAGTTAAAAATTTTAGTTAAAAAACAAAGTAATGATAAAGTATAAGGAAATATTTACAATTTTGTACTTAGAGCTTATTAGCCTTCTAGTATTGTTCATGGCAGTCAAGGGGGAAATTGTTTGTCTTTCAACAATGAAATCTATCAAACATTTATTGCTATGAAATCTGAAGTCATGAAACAGGGTTTGCATACAAATGATGCATTGATAAATTTAAAACTTTATTTCTCAATGAGAATATCCCCATGAGTTGGATGACTACAGTGACTGACAATCAGTGCTAGTTCAAGTGACTGGGATAAATAGTGGATGAATTAAAGCACATTATCTCTGGGTGTATATGAATTGTAATATCATATATAGTCTATATACAATACATTTCATTATTAATATATAATTACTAGGAAAACATTGAGATTTACATTATCGTAAGTGTTAAAATAATTTTTTTAAATGTGCTTAGGAACAAAATCCCAGGAACCATCTTGTTCCTATTGATTGGTTACTATATTAAACTTCAGATTATCCTCAACTATTTATAACGCAAGATTATGCTACAAAGAAATATTAGAGACAAATAATGATATTGCACCTATATCAACACTATTTCAAGTGTGTCTAATTCCTAGAAAATGGACCATAAAGAACTCCTTAGACCAGGTGTAGTGGCTCATGCCTGTAAGCCCAGCACTTGGAGAGGTTGTAGCAGGATTGCTTAAGGCAAGAATGCCAAGCTGGGTCATATAGCCAAACCCTGTCTCTGCAGAAAATAAAAATTAATAAAATTATCCAGGCATTTTGGTGCATACCTCTACTCCCAGCTACTCAGGAGACTGAGGTGAGAGAATTGTTTGAACCCAGGAGGTCAAGGCTGCATTGAGTCAAGTTTGTACCACTGCACTCCAGCCTGGATGAATTCCTTTGAGAATTACAGGTTTTTCTGTAGACTGCCTTAAAAGATAAGAAAAGATATTGCTCTGATTACCCAGTTAGCCATTAACTCTTCTCTCTCCCCAGAGTGTCCACGTTTTTGAAAAAGGATAATTAATTAGATTTATTAGCCTTTTTTTTTTTTTTTTACTGGGTTAGAACTTAATTTTCAAAGATTCTCTATGCCCAGTTTTCTGCAGTCAAATGCTTTTTCCTCTGAGCTATGCCTGCAAAGTCTAGGTTTCTACCAACCAAAAGATGGGTTTTTCCAAACTTAGGTGTTGTGACAAACTTAATATGGGTGGCATTTAATGATCATCTGGTTGTCTTCACTGACAAGAGGGATTCATGGCTAAATATACATGGTGAAATCAACTTCAAAGGTCATGCATTTGTTTTGAGGTGAGCTAGATGCAAAACCAAGATCTCATTATTCTATATCCAGAATGGTTTATACTTTTTTATGAATTAATATGTTCATCTATTCAACAAACAATGATTACATTAATACTAAGTAGCAGAAAACATTCTAAGTACTGGTGAAGCAAGGATAATTTAAGAAACCCACAGTTATTACCCTCATGTAAGGAAAAATGGACATGCAACAAGTTATGAATTAAATAAATATTTGCCAAGATTGATATGTTATAAGGAAAAGTACAGGGAATACAGGAGACTTTAGCCAATGTGGTTACCAATCATGTGGGTTAAATGAGAGATTCCTTTAGAAGAAGAAATTCTACACTAATTCTTATATCTTCAAATACCACATGAAGTTTTAATCATATATAAAACCTACTGATGCATATTGTCATCAAAATAACTACCATTCTTTGAATCGATTTTAAAAACAAAAGTATACAATGTGTTTATTGATGTTATTTGATGTATGTTTTCTAGAGAACGTTATGTAACAAACTTTAAGTTGTAGTTTGTAATTTATTTTTTGTAGTGAAATGCCAACATATGTTATTTTATTAATTTCTAGTACTTGGCTCCAATGAACAATAATAGATATACAGTTATACTGAATGTGACATAGATTCTCACTTTCCCTGATTCCTTGAACAGTTCATCAATCCCTTTTATCTCTTTCCCCTCATCACTGATCTCCCTGGGGAAAAACAAAAAACAAACAAACAAAAACTCACCTAGGTTCAAAAATCCAAAATTCTGCTTATATAATGAAGGACAAGGGTCAGAACACAACTTGCCTGTTTTCACTCTGATCTCAAAGACAGACCACAAGTGTGTGATACAAGTGCTTTGCACAGCAATACATTTCTTAGAAAATTCTTTCTTCCACTCCTGTAGATGTCTGTTTCATTCCCTTTCTTCTCTCCTCTTTCTTCACTGTTAGCACTCAAGTCCAAATCACCATCATCTCTGACATGGATTATTGTGTTCTCATCCTGAGATGTTTTCCTGAGTTAGCACTTGCCCTCATGTAGTGGGTTCAAAATCACGTAACATGAAGCTAAAGTCAATCTAACAAGGCTTGGTATTGCATCCTCAATGCAGATTTCAAAAAGTTTCCTCTCTCACTTAATAAAGGGTAAAGTCCTGGGCCCAGCATGGTGGCTCACGCCTGTAATCCAGGCACTTTGGAGGCCAAGGCGGGCGGATCACCTGAGGTTGGGGGTTCAAGACCAGCCTGGCCAACATGGTGAAACCCCATCTTTAAAAAAAACTTAAAAATTACAGTGTAAAGTCCTTATCAGAGTATAGGGTCCAGCCCTTTAGGGTTCTGTGAGCCCCTCCCTGCTGGTGCAGAGATGAGAAACTGTAGAAATAAAAGACACAGACACAGAGATAAAGAAAAGAGAGTTCGGGCTCGGGGTTCCACTGCCAACCAAAGCGCAGAGACCTGCAGTGGCACCGAGTGCCTGCAGCGGCACTCTGACTTTTATTGAGTAAAAGCAGGGGGCAGGAAAGATAGGGTGAGCTAATGGTGGTCAGTGATAAGGTCAGGTAAATCATGTGTCTTGAAGAGAGGGGGCCCAATACTTTCAAGTAGCCAAAGTGAGGAGAAAACCTAATGCATTGGTACTCTTCGCATATTTGTCAGAAATATCAAGGACACTAAGATTATGTTACTATTATTAATTCTTATCCTTTAAGAAAAGTGAAACCAGGTGCAGAAGCAGAGCGTGAGAGTAGACATGGAACGTGAGCACTGCTGTATCCCGACAAAGACAGTCCTGCCACATGGGATGTGCTTGTTTAATACAGGGCAGATGAATAACAAATGGACCAAAATGCCTCTAATTTGAATAATCAATAGTCCAAAACTTCATAGAAGACTAAAGGTCACTATCCAGCTTTTAATTTTACATAGATCAGCTTTCTCAGTC